TTTTTTTTTTTTTTTTGATGCTTATTATGCTGCTGCTGATCATTATTATTATTTAAGTGATGATTATTCTTAATCTGATAACGCTGATTCTTATTATGTTTTTTTTGTTGATTATTATTATTATTTTGCTGATTATTATTATAATTTCAGTGATGATTATTCTCATTCTGATTGCGCTGTTTATTATTATGTTGTTTTTTTTTTTTTGACTCTTATTATGCTGCTGCTGATCATTATTATTATTTAAGTGATGATTATTCTTATTNATGGAGATGATTTTAAGCAAGCGTTGATCTCATCAGCGTATGTTGAACGTGGAATGACTGGACGTGTTTGCCTGAAATCACCTGAAAGGACCAACAGAGTTCCGCCAAATAGATTGTCGTTGTTTTTAATATCTTTCAATGTCCTGTTCAACGCCTCAAGCGAATGTTTGTGTGCCATAGTACATTCATCCCAGATGATAATTTTACACTGTTTCAGCACGGTGGCCATGGACGATTGTTTCTTAATGTTGCATACTGCGTCAGGGTTATTCTGAATATTTAGTGGCAGCTTAAATACTGAATGAGCTGTTCTGCCTCCATCCAATAAAGTTGCTGCAATGCCCGATGATGCAACGGCCAATGCGATGCCATTATTTGATCGTATTTCAGCAAGAATTAGCGAAATAACGAATGTTTTGCCAGTTCCACCCGGTGCATCCAAAAAGAAGAACCCACCTTGTCCAGCTGAAACTGCGAGCATTATGCGATCATAAACGGTTCTTTGTTCCTCATTCATTAGTGGGACATTGCGGGCAACAATCGCTGCCATTTCTACAGTGCTGTACTGCAGTTCACGATTCATTTCAGTATTCATTAAATCAGATTCAGTTCGATTTGGCGAATTCATACCGAAATGACTGAGTGGTAAGTTGGCAATGACAATGCAAAGATCCTCAATAGCAATTAATGCTTCATTGTACATTGCGTCGCTGAATGTTATGGTTAGATCGTGGCACCGTGTACGATGTTGATGCAATATATCATCAGTCATTGAATCTTTGTGATTATCCCACAATATCTGTGCTCGGGCTGGGAAACATGTAGTCAACACTATAGCGAATAGTAGACGAATTTGTATTGCTGTACAGTTCAATGCAGCTTCAGCAAGCATACATTCCCACTGGTTGTCGTCTTCCAGCAAGCCGAGTGCAAGGCATGCATCTTTATACGTTGGATAGTGTTGCCCATTCACTTTACGTATATCTTGAAATGATAATGGGCCAGTAACATTAACCAACAACAGTCGAAGATAAAAGCACTCAGTGTGTCTTGGATTGACTGTAAATAATCGCCCCAAGGCGTTTGATTTGAATAAATTGGGACATGCATCAACTGGTGAGCCTTGCTTGCGAGGCATCCATTTTTTTGTTTGAGCCCATGTGAAATAGCGTGGTACTTGTGAATAGGGTAATGTTCGGGCAAAGGCACCAAAATCATCCGCACGATTACACAATTCAAAAAAATCAGTGAGTGTAGTTTTTGGTGGATTTATAGCACGATCAATCGCTGTCTCGTTCGTGAAAAATACACGCTGACCGTTTTCAAGATGGACAGCTAACTGAACAACTGCTGGATCCCGTTCATGAATAGAAAAACCAAAGATACGCCAAGCAGCTTCATTGGAGCTGATGTACCGACCAATTTGGTAGAGCGTTATTTCATCGTTTTTATTCACTGGAGGAGCATTCACATTGGTATTTTCCACTCTAAACACAGCCATATCACTGCCTTTATGGACATACTTGCAAATATATTTGATACTCTTCACAGAACTGCAGAACTCAACATTAATATGAGCATTGAATGTCTTACTTAGCAGAGGCGAATATGGCACAACCCAACGATTGTCAATGTCAATGTCTGTGTTGCTGATGTTTTTAATAAATGATCGTCCGCCATTATTGGAATTTCTTCGACGATATATTGGATATCCGTCGACATTTGTGATCGTATCGTTAGTGAAATCTTTAGGGAAATTTTTAGTACATTTTCCATCTGCCATGCAAGGCGATGAACGATTAAGAGTACCGCATGGGCCATGAATCATGTTTGCTGTAACAATATCAAACAGCAGTTGGTCAGTGGACGGATCTGGAATTTACGCAGAAATGATACTATCGATTTCTTCAGGACGGATTTTGTCGATTAACCAAACCAAAATGTGTGCATGAGGTAATCCTCGCTTTTGCCACTCAACCGAATACAGCCAGCAACGTGTGGGACCGAATACATGTAATTTAGTAATGAAACTTATTAAAGACTTCAAATTTGTCTGAACACATGTGCTGTAATGTCATGGCGATGCATTGCATTTTGGCCAGGCAATAGCAAAGATGCAATCTCTGGCTATTTTGGATTACATGTGAACGTGATAAATAAACATGGTCGTCCATATTCGCGCACGAAAGTCAGAGCATCCTGTATATATTCTTGCATATGACGTGGACTGCCTACGTACGATGATGGTAAAATGACATGGTTACCAATTTCGGCGACGTCGGCGTTGTTNGTTGATTATATCGTAAGTATCGTAGTCGTTCGCCCTCAATCTTCGCGTACATGTCGACCATGAATTGTTGACAAAGCTCACGACATCGTAGAATGACGTTGTCCAGGCCGCGTCTAATCATTAATCGGTACGCATAATAATCCTTTGAGCTAACGCATCATGGATCTATTTAGAATGATAAAATGAAAAAAAGGTGTAAAAAGTCACATAACTTATTGCCAGAGTTAAATAAACTGTTTATTAATTGTGTTAACAATACCAGTATCTTCTTGTACGGGCAGATAGGTCATTTGCTGCACTTCGGAGACTTAAGACATGGGTACCTCAGATTCACAATGTCTGAAGAACATTTCAACGATACTTTATTTCTCCGCGTTCACAGAGATGAAATAGTTGATCTATCAATAGTGCCTAATAGTTTTGAATAACAGTACGGTAGTAAAGCAAAACGCTTTTTCATTAGTCTAATCTAATCTGATCTAATTTATATGAAACAAATGTTTGACTGTGTACCTATTATGTCTGACCTATTGTAAAATACAATAGTAATATATTTAAATCTAATGAATAGGTTTTAAAGTAAATGTTTTATAATAATTTTGCTTTTTTTTTTAAATGTATTAGTTGTTAAATGAATGCAATAAATCGACTTATATTGATGAATTCAAATAGTTTTTAAAAATAATGGGTGGATCATGTCCTCCGTGCAATTTTCGAAACCCGGGGCCAATGCGTTCGACACGCAAAACGGGATACAGAATAGCTCCAATCAACTCTCACGTGCATTCGCTTTTTGAAACTTTCGTGTATTTACAGGATGATTAGCAAACAATTTTTTGGGTTAAATTTCGCATATTAAAATTCTGATTTTTGGTGTTTTTAATTGCAGTTAAAGCCGATATTTTTGATTACTTAAATTGTTCACAATACCATCTTGAGTTTTTCAAATGAGAACTTATGGTATAATAAATATGCCATTTATAAACGGAGTATCAGTTTAAATAAATGTTGTTATCAACATTTTCGACTTCCGTCAACGAGATATTCCACTTTTGTATTCAGCTAGAGGGAGAATAGTGGAGTACTAATAAAACGCCGCGCGCCGTGTCGCCACACAAATGATACTTATAATATTATGTAAAACAAAATTTTAATTTTATATTAAAATGATAGGATTTTATTTTTTGTAAATATTCCCTGATAATAAAGTCTATTTCTACATTGCATCTTGTCTCTAGTGTTAGGACATTTCAAGATATTTTAATTTTGAAATATTTCTTATTTTTCAGATATCAAGCGTGGTGAAGAATGAATTGGTTTTAGCATATTACTACGAGGTCACTATGTTGTTTTTTTAAAAAAAAAAAAACAACTGTTTGTTGCAACTGTTCTACCAGAAATATTGATACGATCGAAAAATGATAAGAGACTTTTTTGATATGTAGTTTTCTTTATAGTTAGTTAATATCGGCAAAATACGTGGGAAAAACGGGAAAATTTACTAAAAATAATTCTGTTTTATTATATTCAATTTTGTTGCGATTCGGTTAAAATATATACAATGCATATATATTAAACAATTTTTAAGCATGTTTAATTCGAAAACAGTGAAAATCACTATTGCAAAACGTTTTCGTTCGGAATTTATATTTTGTTCGAAATGGTACACGTGTATGTATTTTCAAAACTAGTGTGCGCTGTATATACTGTTATTCGGATATAGTCCACACTAGGTTAATCAGTATTTCAGACTCTGAATCAAATAAATCAGAGTTTTTTTATTTGGTAAGTCTAAACGATTCTAGTGTGTCTACTATAATAATATTTAAAAATTAAAATATCTATTTGATTTTCTTCTTATTCTTCTTCTTCGAAAAATAACTAAACGATCTCCATCGATAAATCGGGTATGGATGGGAATTTACGATTTGTCGTTACCGCGATTTCGTGACTGTCGCACGGCCGAACGCGGACGGCTCGAGCTTTCGGATCGGCCGGATAAATCGGATTTTCGATAATTTATAGTTAATGTACAACAGAGTGGCTATTATAGCCCTCTCGATACGGATAATTGAATTATCTCAGAGTTGTTTTGTACTTACCCGTTTCCAGAAAATCTAATTAGCACGGTCTCGAGTGCGACGCACCGAGGGTGGTTACGGGTGACGGCCAAGCAGTTCAGGTGGCGTTCCACACGGAATTCGCCGACTTGTTATGCTATATTGCTATCGGTATAAAACCTCCCGGGACCGGTACCGTTATCGTCAGTGTATCGTTCAATCGTCAACAGATCTACGACTCCGGCTCCTATAATAAAACCGCTCCGATAACCCAGCAAAATATGTAAGTCGGGTGAACTTTTGAAATTTCATAAAGTGATTTCACAGCTCGTTTTTATCACTACGCGTCTCGTTTTACAGATAAAACAAAGAAGATCCCTGCGAAAATGAGCGGCACAACATTGAACCCGAAGAAAACCCTGGCCGCGGTTTTGGTGCTGATGGTGATCGGACACGCCGCGGCGGACATGGCCGACGTCGGTATGTGCATCCGGAACTGCGCGCAGTGCAAGAAAATGTTGGGCGCCTATTTCGAGGGGCCTTTGTGCGCGGACGCTTGCGTCAAGTTCAAAGGCAAAATGATACCGGATTGCGAGAACATCGATTCCGTGGCGCCGTTCCTCAACAAACTCGAATGAAATTCCCGCGACTGTGTTACTGTGTACCCTCAAATAGTCCTGACGAACCGTAACAACGTTATAAAACGTATACATAAATAAAATATAACAATTGTAATAATAAAAAAAAATACATAATATATATTTATACGATCGTATTGTGTTATGCAACATTATCGATAGTAAATCGCGCAACCGCGTGCCGGTTACGCGGGTATAAAAACAAATTAACTTAAAGTCTTGTATAATTTATGGTAGTTTGTATAGTTGAGGTTGTGTTAGACGTGTCAGAGTGTCAGACGTTCTGCGTGTACGACATTCTCCAGTAGGCTTTGCCCTTCGGGCCTTTGTCGCCACCGCCGACGGGGCTGTTGCTTTTAACGCTCTTCGATTCGATCGACGTCGACGACGGTTCGTTAAAGTCTCCTTGATTGTACGTGTCGTAATACGGCGACAACGGCGCCGACGACGACGACGACGGCTGCTTGGCGCCTTTGGTCTGATACTCTTGCCGTAGTTTGGCGTACATGTCCTCGTCGTCGTGTCCCGTCGAATGGTAATTGCGCAACGGGTGCAAGGGGTCGGCCGCGTGACTGCGGTAGTCGTACCGACCGGAGGACCTGCCGCCGCCGCCGCCGCCGCCGCCGCCACCGCTGTACGAAGGGGAATTCTTGGACGACGACGACTGGTGGTGGTGGTACGGCCGGGGCCGTTCGTCGGCCGAATCGTAATCGCGTCCGTGATCGATGTTTATCACGCCGCCGTCGGGATCGTCGTTGCCGTTCAGGTGGCCGCTCACGGACACGAACGATTTGGGTCTGGTGGACGACGAGTACGGGCTGTAATACGGCGTGGGCGACGGTCCGTCGTGGTAATCGTCGTAGTTGTTGTATTTGTTGCTGTCGGGCAAACCGCTGTACGAGTATCCCGCCGACGGGCTATAACCGCCCGGTGCACTGCCGCCGCCGCCGCCACTCCCTCGCAGAGGCGTGAAATCGTGACTGTTCCCCGGCAACGACGGGTACGACGGATCGTTCCCGTAACTCTGTGTCGGGCCGCCGTAGCCCGGATGACTGGGAGGACCGTGTGACGGGTAGATTTCGGGCGATTTCGACTTGCCGCCGTGCTTGATGGGTTTCTTCGAGTCCAAAAAGTCCGGCAAGGTCAGAGGCCTAAGACACAAAACGCGAACATGACATACGTGCGTGTGTTTATTCGCGAGAGGAGGTGGGGGTGGGGGTGGGGGTGGTGACAATTCGGGTTACCTGTGATTTCCGTGGTGGTCGAACTCCATGGGCACGTACTCGTAATGTGAATTGTGATCGCCGTCCTCGAAGTCCTCGCCGTCTTCGTCCGCTTCCAGACGCTCGTCATCCGGGTCGACGGGCCGCGCGGGCGGCCGACCGGGTTGCCGCTGTTTACCGCTGTAAGCGTCGCCGCCGCCATAATCGCGATAATTGTTCACGTAATTGTTCACCGGCCTGGTCCGCGGGACGTCGTAACCGTGCCCGTTGGTCGCCCGGAATTCTTCGTCCACGTCGTAGTCCAATCGTGGCTCCATGATGGCCAGCGTCATGTCACCGCCGTTGTCGGCGTCCCGCTTGATCGGCGCCGGCTTAGGCGCTTCCGCTGGATCGACCTTTGCCATCTCGTCCGTCAACGACGAATCGTCTTCTCCGGTCGCCGTCTCGTTGCCGGCCAGCGAAGCCGCTTCCGCGCCTCTCTTCAGCCTCGACTTGTCACTGGCGACACCGCCGCCGCTGTCACTGCCGCCGCCTCCATTGCCGAATATCGCGTTTGAACTCATCACCAGATTGCCGTCCAACTCGTCCGTCGCCTCAATTATCGTGATCACCCGCGTCCCCGCGGGGTCGGTCAAACCTATCCCGCCTGACGTGTCTGTTACCGTCGTAGTGTTACAATACCCGCAGTACAGTATTTTCGCTTGCGTTATCCCAGACTTTAAACTGTTCTCCACGGTCGTCTGTAAAATATAGGTAATTTTCTGTAAGTCTTCCGGACATTTTCGAAAATAAACGCCAATATTACTATAAAAAAAAAAACGCATGCTTACTAGTCGGATGTTTGGCTCGGCCGTGTCTAATGTCGTATCGGCCCATTTGGTCAAATCCATTCTGGGTATCACACCGCTCCTGCACGGGACTCTCGGATTCCTGCAACAACACGCGATTATACACCACAATATTAGGTTTTCACGGATTTCGTTTTCATCGGCACTTACAATTCGTGATCCGACAACACCATCGGATACATTTGAACCGTGTCTATGATGTCGGTGTTGTCGCAGACCAAACGCGCGAGCCTGACGTTTCTGATCTCTTGCAGCTGGTCTGTAAAGATCATGACGTGTTATTATATCGTTAAAACAGTAGCGCCATTACAGTGAGATAGTGTACAGTGTACAGCCATAAAAACAGTGCCATTTTCAGGCACCCCGTACAAAAGATAATCGCGTTGAAAACCATCAACGCGATATTGGTTCGAAAGTCGGTTTTATCGATCGATAATATTTCTAAAAGTGAAAACAATAGATTTCGTCGCGGCACGTGTATAATATAATATGTTTATATTTACAAAAGCGATTTTCAGCGACATTTCAGTTTTCAGTAATTCGCGTGTAAGATATTTGCTCACTGCCGTAATATTGTTAACGGTAAATTACGAAATTGTATTACGAGTAATTTAACAGAGCAGTCCGCAATAATAGCCGACTAAAGTCTAAACGACACTATGGATATATTTTGATCCCCGCGCAAAAGACGGTCGGTAGTTAAACGACGATGTTTCATACGTCTTACGTTCCTCTAGGGGGCCCCGGACACAAATACGACTGGGGGACCCGGGCCGCGTTCGCAGCCACGCCGACACTGAATATACCTAAAATAACATTGTACTGTTTACCCGGTGTAAACGAAGACGGTTGGTCGGCCAATTCGTACCAGAAACGATCGCCTTTCTTCAGTGCTTGGAACTGCGAAGCTATGATGCAGCTGAACGTCGGCCCGACCACGCTGCCGTGAGCAGGTTTTTCCGACACTCCGCCCGACCAAAGATCAATGTCGAACGGCGACCTAAATGCGATGTTTAAAATCAGTTTAAATACAGTTTCGCCGCGGATCTGTTCGCTGTTCGGACATACGCGTATATCGATTTGTATCGTTGTATAGTGGCGTTCGACATGAATCCCACCATGTCTTCGAACCGGTTGGCCACGGACAGGCCGCAGTGGCTCCTGTACTCCATGTAACCGGGCAACCCGAAATCTCTGCCTCTTTGTATGTTGAACGACACCAGGTCGAAACCGAATCTCTTGCCGGGTTTTTTGATTAGATTGTTGGTCACCTCTTTTGTGATCGAGTCGTCCATAGCCTGGGCCACTTGGTTCATAAGACCCATGAGGTATTCGTCCATGGCACCGGCTCTGTACAAATCGAACGGCCGACGGATCAAATCCGATAGTTTTTTGGAAGCTGAAACGGTAACCGCGTGTTAAATAAGTATATTGCGCCCCCCCAACACTCGTTGATAATATTTTGTTCGTACCGATAAAACCGTGTGCTTTACTCCAGCGTTCAATTACGTTCGGTAAAAGGGAATGGCCGAAACGAAAAGCCGCGGCCGAAAAAGAGGCGAATATACTCGGATTCACGGTGGAGTCATACCCGTTCCAATATCCCTAAAAATAAAATTTGCTGATAAAAATGTCCAACGATGACGATAACAATGCATTATAATTTTCAAAATAAAATAACGTTAAGTTACTTGTTTTTTGGTCGTTAAATCGAATTTGTCCATAGTATCTTTGCCTAAAAGTATAGGCAAAAATTCGTTAAACGTTATGTGCTGTATTTCGGCTACAACTATCCTTTTGGCTTCCTGAAATTATGCGTACAGTTTCCATTAGCGGCTTTCTCGCGGCGATTGAGTATAATATTAACGCGGCTTACTTGATAGAGCATCTCGTCGTTCCAATGCGGATTGATTTGCGACAGTTCTTTGGCCACTCGATTGTGTTCTCTGGCCATCAGAGTGTGGATACACGTTAAAACGAGTTGCTCGTTCACTCTGATTTCACCTGTATAAAAATCAATCAATCGGAAATATAACATTATACAAATTCGAAAAAAAAAAAACAGTGCATTGAACGGCGTAACGCACCCGATTCGAAGCAGTATTGCGAAGAATTAGATCGTATGCACCCTTCGTCCGGGATGTTTAATTTCATGGGCAAGAGTTCTTTCATCCCCAGATCCGCAAAGGCCGGGTTCATTCGCAATTGTCCCGTAAATCCGGACCTCAAATACCTAGCGAACGTTTCGTCAGCTCCGTATACGGTGTTGCCGTCGATCACCGGAGTGAGCAAGTTGAACGGGGCTCTCGATCCTAAAATCCCAAAAGAGATTAGACATTAGACCATTTTAAAAACCTGTCGGCTCTGCTCGTTCATTATAAACATCGCATTTGTGAATCATCGCGTTACCTAGTCTACAGTTTGGTTTGACGCCCGGATAAGCTCTCACGAAATCTTGACACCTAACGTCGTGGCTCCTATAGAAATTATCGTCTTCCGGTATTTTGATCTCGTAACAGTATTTGTTTTTCAAATGGTCCGGACGGCCACAACACTCCTCGGGTTCGTTTCTGTTCACCGGATCTATAAGCACGCACACAAATGCATATCGGAGGGTAGTTGAAAACGAAAACACTGTCTGTTTGCAGCAGTACACTTACCCAACGGGGTGGCAGTCAGCGTTAGATCGTGGTCCATGAATTGTCCCCAAGCCACGACCATAACCGTACCGGCGTGTTCGTGCAGACCTTCATCCGGATGAATGGTCCGGGACACGACCCTGGCCAAGGGCAACGGCTCGCCGGTAGTCGAAACTTTAGGAGTAGAAAACTTGTCGGAAAACCGCGGCTGTATCAATCTGCGAAAACGAAACCGTCGGAGGAGTTATCGATCCGGTAGTACATACACATTAAAAGGGCTGTTCCGGCAA